AATAAAGAAAGGGAAAAAGAAAAACGAAATATTCGTTGAAATATGTGGAAAAAAAAAAAACAGAAAAAATATTAAATTAAATCAAAAAAACTAATTTTATATTCAAAAGTTCATTTTTCTTTTTCTTTCTTTCTTTTTTATTCTATTTAAATTGGCTTTGCTGTTCTTTTCGAATCAATAAAAATAATTTCAATTTTTTTCAGCAAAAAATTTGCTCCTTTTTTTTATTGAAAAAATTTGTTGACCAAAACTGTGTGAATCGAAAAAAAGAACATTTCTGATTAATTATTTATTAGAATTGCAATATTAAGTCTCACTTTGTTTTTTTCTCCTTTTGTCTTAAATCTTTTTAAAATTAGTCATTTAGATATTATATTATTTCCATTTCATTATATAATTCGTCCACCCTTTACTTATTATTATTTTCCATTTAAAATAATTACAAAAATTACACCAACAAAATATATTTACTATTAATTGATTATAAAGTTAAAAGTAAAATGAAAAAAAAAAGAGAAAAGAGAGAATTTTTGTGTAAAAAGCAAAAAAGAAATATCATCGGTTGAAATCAAATAAAGACATTTGTGACATACATCTTCTTTTAACAGTTTTCTCATTTTAATCTTACAAGTGCATTCTCACTGTTAAAAAAACAAAAGCAAAAACAAATATTAATGATCAAATTTTTTTATTTGTTTAAATGATGAAAAACAAAAGAATGAAAAATTCATTTTTTGTATAAGAAAATTTAATAAAGAAACTCAACTACTTTTGGAAAGGAACATTAATAATTAATAATAATAGTGATAACAATAATAATAATAATAATAATAATATCATGGTAATGTTCCTCATATGCTATTTCAACACTTAATGTTTAATGATGAATAATTGTATTTTATAAAATCATGATTTTACTCTCTAATAAAATAAGTTTGCTTATTAATATAATAGTTTTATTTTATTCAATACTATAATGATTACAATGATTTCATTGGCAATAATACTGTTATACTCAGCAATATAGTAATTACACCTAATGATATCATAATTGCACAATGCCAAATAATAACTATACCTGGTTATATAACAGTTGCGCCGGATAAATTAATAGCTGATTGTGGTAATATGACAAATAAGCTTCTTGAGGCATTAAATATTGAATATTGAAAGATTAAGTATGGCAATATAATAACTGCATTTGATAAAATGATGACTGTCATGGTGATATGACATTTGCGCTTGGTAATAAATGCAACTGGAAACGCAATAATTTATTTAATATGCAATATATATGCTAATATTTTATATATGTTTACACTTTTATTTTGTTTACACTTACTTTTTCCCATGAAAACGCTGTGCTTTTGCTTTTAGGCATTAGCATTTAGCAACTGTTTGTACATTAGCAAATTTATCATTTTTTTTTTTAATTTTTCTTTGCATTTTATTTTGTCTAAAGGATAGCGCCCAATATTGCCCGTACTATTATCATATCAAATAAAAAAACTGATTGAAAGCAATAACAAAGCAGCGATTGATAATGACTAATTCTTATCATTCATCTTTATAATGTCAAAAAAAATTCAATTTTTCATCTTACTTTTTGCTAAAAAATTGACGTTAATGTCTACAAACCAACTTAAATGGTCAAATACTTAAATGCGGCAGGTTATTTTAAATTAAAAAAAAAATACACAAGCACAAAGCAGCAAGCATAAAATGTATAAGAATCGAAAAAATTTTTTTTATAACAGAAATAAATTAAATTTTTATTCGAAATCGCAACAAGTTTTATATGAGCAAAATAATTAAATTGTCATATCAACTTAGCCAATGATAAATTTGATAGTGATTATTTAAGCTATGTACGTAATCATATAATTGTTTAAGTTATCATTATTATTACTATTATAATCGCTGATGATCGCAACGTAAACCTAACCATGAATTATCAACTGGTAGATAATTCATTGATTATTCTTAACATCTGAAATTGATAACATAAATAACAAAAAGATTAGTAAAATTATTCAATATATTCAGCATTTGAATAAAATAAGTTAAATATGGAGTAAAAAGCTGTCAGAAAATAATTCAGCTTATTTTCAATTCTTAATTTTTTTTTCTTGAAAACGAAAAGCAATTTGATAAATTAGCATAATGTGAGATAAAAGATAAATGCTGACGTAAACATTGCGTAAGAATTCGAAAAGCATTTCACGCCCACACGTTTGATAATTGTAGTAAACAATTAAGGATGGATATTGATATATAAACTCGTAAGTTTTATACATCAAACAAATGCAATGTTTCATCAGCTAAGAAATATGGTAACATCATTACATGTAAAAAGCGTCCCACATGCCATTTGAGTTAATGCGCGATCGTCTCTGTGTCTGCGTGCTGCAGTTGCACGTTTGCACATCGAAGAGTTTATACGGGTAGGTTGATGAAATTGGATACATTTGCTTTGCATGCATGGCGCAAATTGTATGTGACATTTTCCAACTTATTTTCTCATTCTCATATTGCTTTATGCATTGAAATACACTTAATTTGCTAGTGACTTGGAACATTTGCAATAGGAATTCGAAATTTGAAATGAATGAAAATTTTAAAATTAAAAATTAAAAAAAAAAACAACTAATTTAAAACAAAAAATTAGAGATTTAGAATTAAAAATAATAATACAAGTTTATGCATTTTAATATTTACTGCCTGCAATAACAGCACAATAAATTGTCTAAAAGATGTCATCCAAAAAAAAAAATATGTATATATACTCATGGACAACGACATGTTGCCAAATAAACAGAAGCGAAATTGATTGATTAATTCATTGATTGATTGATCTGCCAAGAATCACGAAAAATAGCAATGATAGAACTGATAGCAATAATTAATAAAATTAGTAATAATAAAAGCGATAGTAATAACATTAACAATAATACTAATGAATCGTGATAATAATAATAACAATAATAATGACAATAATATTAAATAGTAATAACAATAATGGCAATATTGATAATAATAGTAACAACAATGATAATTTATATTACTATTGTAATTTCACCAATACATTCCTCTTAATTCAATTATTATTTATGAAAGTAAAATTTTTTGAGGATTCTAATGATATTACATAATGATTTCTCATCAAAATTTTTAAATATTTAAAAAAGTTCACAAAATATAAATGAAGTTCATCAAAAATAATAAAATAACATAGATTTAATCATTTAAAAATTTTGCTTGAAAATAAAACTTTTGCAGTTTATCAAAATTTTAATGAGGAAAATCAGATGAACTTTTTTCATTTCTCGAAGATAATGTGCTTCAAACAATTTTAATTTCAGAATTTTCAAACATTTAAATTGTTTCGAAGAATTTTTTAAGGTTTCTTTTAAATTTCAGATATAAAAGGAAAAGAGAGTAAGGGAAAAAACATGACAAGAGTACGTGATTGTTCAGGTAGGATAATTTAAAAAAGAATTCTTCATTTTAAAATCACATTTAAATTGGACAACCATACTCGTTCAGGTAAACTTCCATTAACAATGATAAAATATTCGAATTAAATTATGAAGCAAAAAAATTCCAATACATACTATTGTTGCTCTTTGAACCCTTACCTAACTTTAAAAATTTACGAAAGGTTAAAGGTTAGTGCCAATCCTAATGTTCTTTGGACTGTTCATTTTTGCAGCAATTATCGTTTGCAAAAGAAATAAAATATTAAATCATATTTGATAAGCTTCCGGTATTTTCTAGCACAGTTGGAAAATTTCACAACTGGAAATGCTTGATAAAATCGGTTGCGGAATTTGATGATTAAATTTCAACATTGATCTTTGCACTTAGTCCAAACCTGAAATTACCTAGCTGTCATACATATATATATATATGTGTACAGGTACACATATGGAAGGAATTAGAAACTGAAGTGTAGAATTTTATTTTATTTCGTGTAATATCAATTTTTCAACTTTTTTCATTTCCAAATTTTTTTCTTTTTTGATTTAACCAATTTTCACTAACTTACTATACTTTAAAGTAGAGAGAAAAAAATCTGATTTTTCTGTGATGACAAAATACTTTATTTTTTTAGCACAATAAATTCAGTAATTCATTTATTCAGACTTAAAATTTTTTGCTTTATTTATTTCTATTGTTTCATTATTCACTCGTATTTTATCATTGTAGTATTCCGACAATTAATTGAATTTACAAGTTTTCCTAACTATTATTTCCACATTTTTATCAATACGATTCATGGTATTAGTAAAATATTGCTACAAATTACTAATGTCAATTCCTTTTGTAATGATTTCGATATTCATATTATCTGCTATTTTTTTTTTTTTTTCAAAACAGAACTCTTGAATCATTGCATTAGTAATTCTTGCCTTATAGGAATAAACAAATGATATGTCTGATTGATAACAATTGATATGTCTGATAACCAATAAAAATTAGTATACTATTTAGTTTGAGATGTTTTTAATTGTAAGTTATTAATATTTTTCATGTCAAAACCAACAAAATCATAATTGGATTACTAAAATGCCCCATGAATGATTATCAGAGTATTTAATGCGATTATATTTTCTATTAATAATTTTACTTCAAGTTATTCGCACACATTTAGTTTATAAATTCTCTAAAACGAAAATTTTTTGCTAGTTATTCAAATTCATTTAACAAATTACTAGAATATTTTCGGAGTTATGAAAAATTGAAATCGCTAATTAAATTCTATTTCAAATTTAAAACCCTTTTTTTTACTATTTTCAAAATGTAAATAAATATCTAGCTTTTGCACCTATTAATCAATAATTAATGAATTTACACTTTTTCTTACTTTAAGAAATTGGAATAGCTTTTTTCTATAAATTAAAAAAAATGACCATTTGAGAATGAGCTTTTTCTGCCATCTTTCGTCTTCAATATTAATTATATTTGTTCTTCTGTTTTTAATTTCAAATTTTAGTTGGATGTTTTATTCCGCAGTGCCACGAGTGCCACTGGCTTTAATAGCCCTTATCAGTTGGTTATGCCATATCTCACCAGCAATAATTATTCCTGCATTGGTAGGTAGAACATCGTTAACACAGTGATAAAATAGACATCCTTTTGACTAATAATCATTAGTTATCATTTTTTAATTTGTGTTATTTTTAATCTTTAATATACTGAAGTGTTTTTAAATTTGATGAAGTTTAATTAAAAGTGAATGATTTCGAATTTTTGAAAAAGTTTTTTTTTACTTTTATTATTATTAGTCATTAATTACCACAAGCAAAAATTACACTATTTGCATCGTTTTTTTTAAAAAAAAGACATAAATCTTCTTTTTTTTTGAAATGTTATTGAGAAGGAATAAAGTTATCAAATGATAATTAACAAGATAATTGTGGTAATTTTAAATAAAAATCAATAGAATAATTGATGGTCAGTTTAAAAAAATTCGGAAAGTAATAAAATTTATAATTTTAGAAAACGACAAAAAAAAATCTTTTCTATTGCTATTTTAAGTTCAATTAACATTTTTTTTTCTATTATTTTGATACAGTCTAATAGTGTTCTTCTCTTTCATCTCATTTTTAATCAAATTTAAAAGTTTAGCGGAATGAACATCCTGAAAATGTTCCGGATAAGGTGGCCATCGAGAAAGAACCGATTGATAACAATTCTGATAGAATGTCACCAACAGGCGGAACATTTAATCAGTATTTGGGTAATAACATACACCTATTTGAAGGCGATATTATCCTTACAAAGTTTGCGTTTTTCTTTTTTTGATTGCCAAAAAAATTAATTAAATTATTTTATTGTTTAAAAAATTACTTATAATTGTACTGCTAAAAAGCATTGTTGAATTAATTGTAAAATTTAAATGTTTTGATATTGTGCTAGCAGTCATTTTTGCTTTTACGGAGGGATGTTAAAAAATAAATGAATCAGTTGAATAATATGTAAGGAACAGCATTTTAATTATTTTGGTTAAAATTCAGCAGTATTTTAATTATTTCATGAAACGAATTATTATTGATTTTAGTAATTAGTAATACTGGTAAATTTTAATATGGATTTCTTTTTTTTATATTATAGAGGATGTATGCAGAAAAATATCATCTATAACTATTAAAAATTATTAAATTCCAGATTTGTAAAAATTATTTTTAAAAAAAATACGAAACAAACACTTTTTTAAAAAACAAAGAAAAAGAAATTATAAAAAAAAAAAAAAAAAGAAAAAAAAATACAATATATTGTCATTTAGGCAGCAAGAAAAGGTTTGGAATCAAACATTCAATTACGCAATGACATTTTCAAATCGAACAATCAGAATGGGACGAAAGAAGCGACAAGCTTATCGCTCTGATAACTATTTCTGGCAAGATGGCATTGTGCCTTATAGAATTGACTCAAAACTTTGTATGAATATAATTTCATTTTTTAATTTTATACAAAAACTATATATTAATATACTTATAAATAATCTATAATGCAAAATTTGTAAGAAATTTTTCAAAAAATTTGCAGAATTTATGTATATGCACTAATTTTTAAATGAGAAGTGAATAGTTTTTTGAAAACAAAATACATACATATATGGTTTAAAGCTTTAAGGTGAAATTTTTATCAAATATTAAACTTAGAAAATATCTAACAGTTAAGCTAATATTTTATGTTCATTTAAAATTTTTAACTCACACTTTAAAATGTTATTGCATTATGCAATTAAATTTTGATGTGTACTAAGATAATTTCATAGAATGATAAAAATTTAGATGTGTTCTTAGCATTTATAATAATTTCAAAGTCAAATTTACATTAGCTATTTAATTTTGCTTAAATAAAAAAAAAAATGATAAGTGATTGAAATATTTGTTGTAAAAGGTTAGGTTGTGACATTATTAACATAATTTTAATATTAGCAAATTTATTGTTGCATTAATAACAATAAATCCATTAACCAACACTAATTTTAACTTGGTAATCTGACATTAAAACATTTATTTATTTCATAGACTGAATTATCAAATTTTTGATTGCGTTTTTTTTTTTTTTTTTTTTATTTCAGCACAGCACGCCAAAGATATTATAAAGAAATCAATTGAAAAGTGGGAAAGTAGTACATGCATTACTTTTATTCCAGCTAGCAATAAAAAAAATGCGCTCGTTTTTGTTCGAGTTAGTTCTTTTGTTTAAAAAACTTACAAAATTAATTAATTACAATAAGACAGTTTAATAAAAAAACAATATTTACAAGAATATTTTTCGTATATATATTAAAAAACTAGTATAATTTTTCATATTTATATTTATAATTGTAATTAGGAACTAATTTTCATATTTATAACTAAAAGTTAATAAAATATCTCATTAAATAAATGAATAAATAAAATGAAACAAATAAAAAGTGCATAATTGATTGAAAGATAATATTGAATTTGTATTAACCAGTATCAAATGTTTATTATTAAATATAATAAATTTATTATTTATTTATCTGTTATTGCTAAATTTTATAGTATTAATTTATTGCTGTGATAACAAATCGAATTTTTGCTTTAATTTAATTATAGCTAAAGTTTGCAGGGGTCAAGTTGCTCCAGTTATATTGGCCATATGTCACAATGGACAAAGCAGCCAGTTTCGATTGGTTATAACTGTGAACATGTTTGTTATTTACATTATTAATATTGTTATTATCACTTTATCACTGTTTTACCATTATCAATGATGCTAATTTTTGAAGCTCATTTTATAAAGTTATTTTCGTTACAGTTTCATAAGCATTTTTCTCACTTTCTTTCATTTTTTTTTTTTTTTCATTTCAGCCATACGTTTTAACAAATTTTGTATTACAAAAATACTTTTCGAAATGGAAAAATGATTAAATTGAATGTGATAAATTCAATTTTAGATTCATACAATTTCACATGAAATTGGTCATGCATTAGGTTTCTTGCATACTCACACTCGAGCGGACCGCGATGAATACATTTGGATTAAATTTAACAATATCCAAGTAAATTTATTTATCTTTTTTGGCTAAAAGAAAATTCTCAAGAAAAAAAAAACCGAACAGATAGAATCGGAATAAGATGAAATAAATTGCTGAATGAAAAATTACAGAAATTAAATATGAGTTTTTAGCTTTTATTTTATTTTAAAAATGAATTAAATTCCATTATTATTACTATTATTATTATTAATTATTGTATTACTATTACTGCTTCATTATTGTTATTATCATATATAGCTTTTATATTATTTACTCAGTTATTCACTCCATGAGAATAATAGACAGACAAACAATCAGAATTATTAGCAATTAGTAATCATTCAAATCAATGCATATCTTAATGCAATGATATGATGTGACAGTATGTGACAACATTGCCACTATGATCACATTTCTATCGAGAACTTACATATACATGAACAGTTGTTAAATAATTCATCCAATATTCAAGTATTTTTATTTAATTTTAATTATTTGATGAAAACCGTTGATCATTTAAATAATTAATTTGTTCTAAAATTGATTAAGCGTAAATTTGAGGATGGTTTATCGTCAAATTTTGTGCGTTCGTCGCGTGAAGATAATTATAACTATGGACTTCCATATGACTATGGTAGCGTAATGCATTATAGCAAGAAAGCGTAAGTTTAATTTAAAAAATACAATTTAAATAACGATTTTTAATTTTGATATGAATTATAAAATTTTGTATAAATATATAAAATGTTTTTTATACTTAATTTTGATTAAATTAGTATACTAAAGTTTAATAGCTTTCTTTAGAATTCTTTCTTATAGTTATTTACTATCAAATGTTTCAAATTTTGTTAATAGTCAAATAAAAGAATTTCCGTATTGTTTTAGATTTACAAGTAATAGTGGTCCAACAATTATTCCACGGTATTCGTGGTATGAAGATACGATGGGCAGTGGTACTGGGCCAACATTCATTGATATTCTTATGATGAATACACATTATAAATGCTTAGGTATGTCAAATTTCATTTGCTAGTACAGTAAAGCAACAAATGTCATAAAAATTTCATCAAATTATTTTTCATTATTTCATGCCATTGAAATTATCACTTAAATTTTCCGCCGTTAATCATTTATTTTTTTTTTTTTTTTATTAATTTATTTTAATATTGTCTTTGAGCACTAGATTGAATTTTATTTTGAGTAAAAATTTGTTATTATGCAATAAAATTAAGTTTAAAAATAAAATATTATCAGCTTATAAAAAATAAAAAAAATCTCGATTTTTAAGACATAAACATGTTTTCTTTGCTGAACTGATCATTGTAAACATGAATTAATTCCCAAGAATAAATTTCGGTTCATTTTTTTTTTCTTTTGCAAATTCTGAAGTATGAATTAATCTCTTGCTTTAAAAAACAAAAAAAAAAAAAAAAGAACAAAAATAATTATTATTGTGATAATAATAGCACCTACCAGAAAATCTTCACGAGTAATTTAGCAAAAGTAATTTAAATAATTTCAAAAGTTTATCAAAAAAATTTGCAAAATTAATACCAAAATGCATGAATGGTTTTCTAAATCGAAATTTAAATTCTAATTCATATCCTAAGACATAAATTAACTTTTTTTTTTTTCAACAGGTCAATGCAAAAACAACATCAGATGCATGAATAATGGATATCAACATCCAAGAGATTGTTATAGCTGTTTATGCCCGACCGGGTACGGTGGAAGATATTGCGAACGGCGGGTTTGTTTTTAATCAGCTAATTACTGAGATGTTTTTTGCAACTACTTTTGCTAACGTAATTCAAAAAAAAAAATCGAATTCAAAAAGGAAAGTAAATAAAAATTTTAAAGAGATAAATGATTACTTTTACTTCGATATAAGTGCAATAATATTTTGGAGTAAATAATTTAAAATTCCATGAAATGTTAAAATAGGAATAATATATAAATCAAAATAATTAGCAAAAAATAAGTAAGAAAAAATACTAAAAAAATAACAAAAAGCTATCATTTAAAAAATTTTATAACAAAATTTCATTTATTATTAAAAAATATCATTTGTCGCTTTAAAAATTTTTTTTTTACTTTTAATTTTGATAAGAAAAAAAAATTCCCTAATTTTATTCTAAATATAACATTGTTTTTTTTTTTCTTTTTCACATAAATTTGGAAGAACGATGAAATTTGTTGGATATAATTAATTCAACAAAATGTTTTCAAATAGTTAAAATAATGGAATTATAATACCATTGCAAAAGAAATAAATGCATTATTAAGCAAGCAATTATTTGTTAGAAATTACTTTTTTTTAAAAAAAAAAAAAAGATCAAATAAATAAGTGCAAATTAGAAAATACAAATGATAATAAAGAGAGAAAATGAAAGAAATTTTCCAAAATTTTTTTCTTTTCTTATTTCTCCAAAAAGTTTCACTTATATTATTTTGAGAAATAAAAATTTTCGTCTGTCTTCTTCGATGTACTTTTTTTTTTGCACATTAAATTATTTTTGATGTATTTTTTTTTAAGCATTTGTCCATTAAAAAAATAGAGCAATTCAATCCTCATAATTCTTTTGCTAAAATTGTTAATTATAGTAAATAAAATTAATTAAGGCTGATTCATTTGGTTGTGGTGGTAATTTACGTGCAACATCTGAATGGCAAATATTAAATGCAAAAATGGGTAAATCTGGATTCTACAGTGATGACATATCTTACTGTCACTGGTGGATTGAGGTAATTCATCTTCATTTCTTATCAAATTAAGGTTACCTCGTAACTGTTAATTTCACAATAATTGCTAAATTGTTTATTACTAGTATCACAGTTTTATTGTTATTGTTATTGTCATTATTTTATTATTATTATTATTACAATTATTTTATTCCACTCAATTTGCAGTTTTCCTTTTACCTTGTTAATAAATGATTTCAACAGGCTGGACAACATGAAGTTATTGAAATGGAAATAACTTCACTTTCTGGTACTTGTTCAGAAGGATGTATTTTTGGTGGTTTAGAGATAAAAGCTGTTGCTGATAAGAGATTAACCGGATACAGGTCTTCTATTCTTTTCTCGTTTTTTTTCTTTCTTTTTCCTCACATCAAAAAACAGATTAACAAATTGTGGAATTATTGCACGAAAGATGCAGTATTTTTAAAATTTTATATTCATTTTTTCAGAATATTTAATTTTTGTTGAAAAAAATTAGATAACATTAGCATAAGATAACATATGTTGTTTAATTTTATCACTGTTAAAAATTCTTTTTAATAAAGGGATAAAATTAAATTTGAAAAATAAGTGGAAATTTCAGATTTTGTTGTGAACGATCGAATGGAAAAATTGTGAAAGCAAATGGTCCAATACTTCCCGTTATACTATTCAATAGAAGGGACTACACACAAGCTCTAATTAGGTTTCGATTGAAAAAAACATAGCAAAGTAAAGACTGAGAAGAAATCATTCGAAGTATTTTTGCTCAATTAATGATGTTAATAATGAATTGAAATTAGATTTTAATCATTTCGATTATAGCATTTTATTATTGTTATTGTTATTACTATTATTGTTGTTATTGATATGATTGTTTTTTGTTTGTTTCCTTCTGGCCTGCAAGTCTAGGACACAATTGCTTTAGAATAATTGTCATTTTTATCATAGTCTTCTGAAATGTTTATCTTATTTTCAAAATTATGAAAGTTTTAGGAATATATTTAATGCAATAATTAATTCCTTATCGATGACAGTTAAATTCTCATACAAAATGACATTTAATTTATATTTGTATTCATATAAAACATATGAATGAATCATAGCAGTGAAAAGAAAATAGAATAGGAAGAAAAATTGAACTTTTTACTTAGATTCCAAGCATAATAATTGGTGAATAAATAATTGATCAAATTATTTTTTCTTAAGGATTGCTTAAGAAATTAGCATAGAGCAAATGGTTGTTGCATGACTAAATTCAAAAAGTTTAATTAAATTACTAACATAGATTAAGTCGAGCTAGTCAAATCAAATTATTATTCGAACTCCATTAATTCTTCAGTATCATAAATATTAGCCAAGATTTCCTGAGTGACACCAATTGTGGTGTGAAATCAATAAAATAATATATGGAGCAAGAACAATTACTGCTTTATATTGGAAGAAGCTTCTTTTGAAATAACGAATGTATCATTTTATTAGCATAATAATTTGTTTATAATAGGTATATTATACATTCAGTTTATGCCCGCTGCAAATTAATAAATTGTTTAAATCAAATGAAATCTAATTTTATTTTTTCATTTTTTCTTTTTTAGAAATAGTTCATTGCACATTATTTGTTTTATATTGTTATCATTATGTTGATCTCGTATCATTTTAAAAATTAAATTAATTACATCAAATTATAATTGCTCAAATGAAATGCTTCATTTGACATTGAACAAAAAAATATTTTTTGTTGTGATTTTATCAAAAGAAGAGAGATCATTTTGTGATATGACAAAATGAAAGGAAAGATGGAAAGAAATGAGAAAAAGAGTGAAGTGAAAAAATTGAAATTTACATTTGTACTATTTCTTCGATCTTTGCTCATTTACGCTCCATGTGCTAATTCAAATTTGTTAAATGTTGTTGTTAAAGAGAAAAATTTTTTCTTTCATTTGCTTTTCTTTTTTTCATTTCTTGATAAAATACTTAAAAATTTTTTATTTAAATAACAATTTGCACGTATATTTTATAAATGATAAGATTAATTAAAAGTAGAACTCATAATTTCATCATTTTGACCATAAATGGGAAATATTTCTCAATAATAACATAGAGAAATAATTTGCTGTTAAGAAAAAAAGGAATAGTTAAGGTAATATTACTGCATAGAAATTAATGCTAATAGAAAAAAATGAATAAACAAATTAACTTTTTTTTTCTTTAAATTCTGAAAATTGTACTAGTTATTTAGGATATATTTTTAAAAAAAAAAAACAGAGTACAATGAATATTTTAGACTATCCATGATAAAATGATTAATGCATTATTATGTGCCCAATTATGTTTGACTATCATAAAATGAACACTCGAATTAATTATAGCAATTTTTTCTGAATTGTTAGGCGAACACAAATGAGACATAAAAATTTGCGCTGTGAATCTGTACACATTGTTGTTGGTCCGCATTTATGTTTGGCATTTGTTATTGTCTTGTTTCTGATCAAGTTTGTCAAATGGTGTCATCGATTTAAAATGGCGGTGTTGGTTGGATAACGGTGTTGGTTAAAGGTTTCTTTATTGATTTAATTAAACCATGAATTTCAAACAAATTTGGCTGCACTTTTTGGCTTAAAAAGCTACAAATAAATAAAATGAACTGTGAATGAATATTGTCTTATAATTTTTCTTACGAAATGTTGCATATAAATGTCTAATATCACGTTTAGCCGTAACTTACGTATGGCTTTACACGGCTAGCTATAGTTTTCTTTGGAAAAACATATTTCTGCAATGAAGTAGCATCGAAATTTTCGGCGAAAACTAAGAAAAATAAGCAATTTTAAACGAAATCCGATTCCTTTTTTAAAAATAATTCGTAGGATAGATGCTGATGTTCGGTTACATTTATAATTTATAACTATCGAAATATTTCTGCTTTATATTTTATTAATTCTAGTCTTTTGCGCATTTGTTCACATTGAATTCATTAAATCATTGCATTCCTGTTTATAAATCAGAAGTACAGGTATTTTCTGTTGTTGCTAGCATTGCATAACTAAAGATGTCTCTTTATTTAATTCTGGATTTCTTTTTTCTTTTATGTGAAAATTTGATGTGAAATTGTTAAAATTCGAATTTTTTATTGTTGTAAGAAAAAACGAAACCAGTTTATTCTTTTCCCGTGCAGTTTATGGATTATAACTGATTGTAGTACGTTAGTCATTAACAGTCAACGGAAAAGTAGCGGGGATTGATAAAAATGATGAAATATAATATAATAATGTATGTTGTGAGGAAATCAACGAATGACAAGCATTGCCAAATGGGATAATGTCCTTTTGCAATGATAAATCAATGAAAGAGCTTTGAAAATTTAGGAATTTGATGATATTGCAAAATTAATGCAGAAAATCCAAAAGTGACAGAATTTAACACATCCGGAACATTTTTTGTTGTGTCACATTGTGAATTCCGAATGCTGTAAAATTGTTCGAAGTATTTCGATTATTCTCATACACATAAACAGTTCTTTTGAAAGACTTGTTCAATCACATGTATTTCAATATAGTTCCATGTAATTTTCTTCTTTTTTTTTCCTGACCTTTAGTTTAAGTTACTTCTTTTTTTCTTGCAGTAGTTTGTAAATTCAAGTCTTTTTTCAACAAATTGCTAGTATCGAAAGGAATGATTGTTTTTTTTTTCAGAATAGAAGAGAAATTGATTAATAATATGCATAAAATTAATTTTCTAAAAGTAGCTTAATAAAAAAAGACATTATTGTTGTGTCAAACATGGTCTGGTGTAGTATCGCTTCGTGAATTCTCGATTAATTCATCAATTTATGAAACATTAATTATGATTATTTATGATAAGCATGATATGGCATGGCATTGCTAAAGTGGTCTTGAATTAAACTATGAAACATTTCCATTGAAATTTGTTTAGAGCAATAACACTAGCTGATGTGTAATAAAATGAGTCAGCTGACATTAGAGCGCTCATTTTTCCGCTTATAATCTCAGTGGATTGATTGTTGGAAAAATAATCGCATTGGCCAATTGTTGCATGCTTAAACAACAGTTTATCTATCAAAAACCGTTCATCTCAATGCTTATATTTATATATTTCAAATTTTTTCTGCATTATTTGCCGAACTTAATATAAAATTGGTTTTTTACGCTTAGGCGAGGTTGTTCTCACCTCTTCTTTTTGCCTGTGCCCAAAATTATTTGTATGTTTCGACGTGAACTAGAAAAAAAAAAAGATTACAAAAACTACTGAAGCAAAATGATCGATAATTATGGAAGCTTAATGTCAGGATAATTTTGTTTTTAATATTTCCACTATTTTTTAGTCTTTGCTCATCTGTCAGAGCGATAAATGGCGTGAATTATCCTCATATTAAGTTTCCACAATTATTAGTCACTTTATTTTAGTATTTTCATTGTTTTTCATCCGAAATAACATTCGATATTTTAGTAAAAAAGACCATTGTGCTAGTATGTCGAGTCTTTTGTTCAAATAATACTTGACTTTTTATTGTAAAAACGGCTGATTCTATTTCAAATTATTGTTCAAAAGATGTAATTGATTCTACTTTTTTTTGTCACGAATTATCATATTTTAATAATTTCCATGCTTAAATTGTGGATTTAATATTAAAAACATTTTAACACTAAATTTTATGAAATTTATGTGATGTTAATTACTACTGTTTTTCCCTCAGTTTTTTTTCTCTTTCTTTTTTAAGTTTTAGTAGACGGGTGGCTGCACTCGTCAGCGTGTGGCTTCGGGTCACTGGGGTCGCATTAAAACGAACAAGAAGCATGGAGGAACCGTTACCCGGGATTACTCCCATCAATTGTTATAATGTTGAAAAGGTTTTTGTTTGGAAATTTCACATTTAAATTTAAATCAAAAATTATTCGGTGGATTCAAAAATCAATTAATTAGTTAGTTAAGCTGCACTGTAGTCGCATTTTATTTTGTTCTGTGTATTCAAAATGAAGAGTCCTATAAATGGATGGAAAGAATTAAGTACAAGAGTCGAAGTACTGTTATAAGTATAAAAATCATAAGTAAAAATTTTTGTGTTAAGCAATGAAGTGAAATGAATATTCTTTCTATCTTGCGTTCACATATTATCTCAGTGTAAAATTTACTATTGTGATAATATTGAAGGGTAAATTAAGTGCATCGGTGAAATGGTTAATTGGACATGTTTACGGAAGTACTGCTCCTGATCTTTTAATTAAACCGATCAAAGAGAACAGCAATGTTAGTACTTTATACTGTGTTTGTTCAAGAAGAAAATTTTAGACAGAATCAAAGTACATTTTCGTCCAAGTTGAATTACATTTGAATTACTTTTCGTATAACTAGAGTGCATGAAAGAGTGCTTTATGAAAAGTTAGGATTCAACTCTGGTTCGATTCAACAGCAATATGTCAGGCAGTGAATGAAGCGAAACATCTAGATCATTTGGCTAATGTAAAAGCATATGAAAATTATAGCAGTTTGTTTAACAAATCGTTTTTAGTTATATAAAAAGCCAGTTTTTGTACTGTTTTTTACAGTTTGGAAAAGCATGTCTTTTTTCAGAATACTTTTTGGCTGGAAGCAGCCGTAGTGACGGGTTTAACTAATGCGTCGTTGTACAGTAATGCTGCAGCTAAAATATTTAAGGACCAAAGTCTTCTTAATGTAAGTTATGGTCAATAATATTATTTTCAGAGGTGTAAATTGTTCTTTTTATATAGTATGTTTTGAGTCACATAAAACTGTAAAGATTATATTGGTTGATGCAACATATAAATGATGCGAAGACTTGAATCAAATGTTGTACGTGAATGCTAAATGTTGATGCTTTGGCATATAAGATCGATAAATCTTCAGTGAGATTCCAAACATTTGAAATTTAGAAAGATGCTTAATAATTTACTGTTATTTTTTTCTGAAAATTTGTTCTTTTTTCTTGTTGTGCATGAGAAAATAACTTTTCCTTTGAATTCAAGACTTTATCCATTTGATGACTACAGTACGCTGTAAAATTTCAGAAACCACATAGCGTAGTACTTCGAGCTTTGGCAAGTCATTCCATTCCAATCACCTTATCCGGCGAAGAAGCAAATATCACTGAGGCAATGCTGTCAACTATTGAACCTTTTCATCAGGTTGATCACTTTTGAGATCATTTTAATATCTCTTTCAATTAGTTTATTTAAAATTTCATTTTTTGTCGATTTTATTTAAAACTAACAAGTTTAATTTTTGTCAGTTGAAAACTTCCAATTTTTGCAGGCTGCCCATTTGGCAGTAATGGATTCTTTAATGATTGCACATATGCGATCCATTATTACTATTGATAAAGTGGTAGAAGCTGTCCAGTAAGTAGTTTTTTTCTTTTGTAGTATAATTAGAGTAATGTAAAAAATGTGGATAAAATCACATGGATTCGTTAATGAGCAGAATGAACAGAAGTCAATGTGGAAATAATTTGGATTTCTTCTGTCCATAAATTTCTTCCACTTCCGTTTTCAGTCCTTCGGAATAAATGAATTATTTAGTAGGTTATAGCTAATACATCAAAAGATCAAAAAATTTCTTTTACTATTCCTTTCTCTTTGTTCACTGTGAACATGCATTCCTATAGCTGCCATGAAAATATGATAGCTATAACAAAATAAATGACGAAATTTACTTTTGACTTCATCGTTTTTCATTAATTGTCCATTTTTCATCTGATGCTTGTAGGAATTACACGACTGTTGATAAACGAGAAGAACCAATGGATAGTGTTGATGCATTGCTGTTTTGGATTAATAAAATTTGTTTATTGGTACGAGATGACATGGAAAAATTTACTATGATGAATAAAAATTCTAGAGAGCAATGTAAGTCTTTTCTCAGACATATAAAATTTTCTATTTGATTAAATTGTCCTCTACTGAATATAATTGCTATAAATGGTGAAAATTTTTCGTAAAATAAATTTTGAATTCTGAAATTAATTGATTTAGTTTATAATGTGGAATGATGGGAAGAGAAACAGAAGCTAATTGTGCGTGGGATTTTAGACCCTTGTCACTTCTTCAGGATGAACATCTTATAAACTGTGGAATATTTTCTTTGGAAGATTAGGTGACATCGTATCGATGTAATGAATTTGAAAGCGCAAGCTTGACCATGTGACATTTTAATATATTGAATACAGTTTGGATTTTTTATATTGTTATCTATGCGTTATATTTTTGAGTGGACTGAAGTATGATTTACTTTTCTTGTTAACTCTTTGTTCCTGTGTTATTCGAAAGATTTCAGATGGGTCAGTGGTAGTGCCCGAAATGGAAGATCTGTATGAGGATATGTGTGATGGCGCTTGCATTTGCGCACTTGTTGGATTTTATCGACCTAATGAAATGATCTTACGAGGCTTGTTTTTCGCTATATTTATAGTAATTTGAAGTTTACTATTCTTGATCTTAAAATTTTTATGCCAACAGAATGGCATTCTTTTGTTTATCTAAAATTTTATTAAGCACAGTTCGGGAACAAAAAGGCTGAATAACCATTTTTTTAAAGACGTTTGTTTCAACGATCCAATGAGTCTTGCCGATTGTCAGTACAACTTAATGCTCCTTAGGTAAATCGCTATCTTTTCGTATTTCTGGCTTTTCTCTTCGGTTAACTTCTTGATTAGTCTTTCCGGTGATTTAAAGCTAAGTTGTTGATCTTGCTTGAGTCATAATTGTTTTTTTTTTTTTTTAATCTTAAATCAGATTTAGATTTTATGTAAGTTTTTATGAATGGTACCTTTGAAGGATATGTAATATTTTTCTCTTATTTTTTCGAGTTTAAAAATATTTTAGGGAATTCTGTTCCCATCTACCATGGAATCCATTTCACTTCGAAATTGAGGATATTCTATACCTTCATGAAAGTTTACAACCAAATGTAAACGCCTTTTTAGCTGATCTTTTTCAAATTTTCGAAGGAGATGGCTTAAGAAATGGTAAAAAATTTATACGAATTCCCTGAATAATTTATATAAAAGGATTTGATTGCTGGCTTTTGACCAATATTTTTTTTCTGTTATAGTTGCAAGTCCTATAGAGGCATCACCTCTACGTGCAAGATGTTTCGTACCAGTAAATGGCATACCTAATTTACGATCGCATACTGCTCCAAATAAAGTACTTAATCAATTCAGATCTCGTTTCCAACCTGAAATTTCACGAAGTAAGTTAATATTCGTTCTTTATTATCTTCGGTCTTTTCTCCTGTCAGTTCATTACTGCATTATAATTTAATCTACGAAATAATTCGATTTATAAATGTATTTGAAGATGATTACTGAAGTGAAGAAATTTGGCAGTAATTCTAGTTTTTATTGGCTCTGAAATTTTTTCATATAATCAGTGAAAGATTTCTTATTTTAGCATTTTCTGCGATGTCTTCGGACTCACTAATGACCAATCGGTATGTAATCTTTTGCATGCTGAACTTTTAGTGTTGTAATTTTTCTCACTTTTTTCCTCTTTTTAAGCAACTGAAAAATGATCAGAAGTATGAAGTGCTGTAGAGAAATATCATTGATTATTTTATCAGAAAAATCATAAAGTTTCTCAAGAAAATAATTGTTCGTTATAGTGCTAGATTCTTGCTTGAACAGGGAAGTTTGTATAGAGCAAAAGATGATTCACAGTATCTTCAACTGACTTAAGATGTTATTAATAAATGAGAATTACTTTCAGTGCTGATATAATTTCTAATCTGATAATTTCAATTCTAATCTGAGAGACAAAGAAATGACCGTATATGGTTTATATTTCGGTAATTTGAAGAAATGAGTTTTCTTCTGATGTTCGGAATTTGTTCAAATAGTATTTACTTTATTGATAATTGTAGCTCGGGTGAATCAATGAAACATCATTATCAAAAGAATTTTGCTGGCTCTAAAACCAACTTTGGTGAATTGGTAAGTAATATTGTATTATGAATTCTCCGGTATCAAAATTGGGAAAAATTGATTTGATAGGATTATGGATATTTGTTTTGTTACCTTTATGAACTTTTGGAGGATTCTTGGAAACGCAGTATAGAATGTTTAGTTACGATTTTCCGCAATTAAATATGTAAAGCATTTTTTTTTAAACATTAGTTGAAAATTATATAATTACATTTCTTTAAATTTTCGACGCAATGTGGCGATCTTGTTAGCGGTACGGATGGTTTTTCGCAAGGAGGAACATACATTCGCAGTGATTCAATGCCAGCTGCAAGTATACGTTTAGCATTGGAAGAAAAGCGACGTGAACACGAAAAAAAACGTTATTTGAAAACGTATGTAAAATAAATTGATTCTTGATATATTAGAGTAAGGTAATCTTGATATAACTAGTAAAATAACGTAATATAAGTGTTGGTTATGAAACCGGTGCAATTTATATGCAACATCTTTTATTTCTCTTATCATTGGACTATAAATGGAACTTGTAATTTCATAATCGTAGGATAAGTTTTAATTCTTGCTGCTTCAAAATCCTTGGTGCAAATGTCAATTTCAGTTTTGGAGGCTTTTTCATATGAATTACACTTTTAGAAATCAGAATGAGTCAGAGCGTGCACAGAAACAGAAGGATGCATTCTTCACACTTATGCAGCGTCTGGAAAAAGTACTCTTTTATTTTGATTTTGAAGGTGGTAATGTCTTGGGTCAGGTTTTGCGAACCACTTCTTTTTACCAAATATTGATCGAATAAAAGTTTGAAACAGATTAGTCACTGAGGCGAGTTCGGTTATCTATTTCCTCTATGACCATCAGCTTGCAGTTGGCGATACCAGTTATCATTCTATAAATAAAGTATTAATTTTGATTGTGTTTTGAAGTGTTTCAGAAATGGATCAGTAACATTTCAGAAACAAATGGAATTCTTTCAAATCAAACACAGAGTAATTTAATGTTGACAAGTCTTAAGTTTTAAAGTTTGCGTAAATTTTTAGGGTTCCGATGCACGATCACGTGCAGCAAGTGAAATAGGTAGCTCTCAAACACACCAATCAGAAGAATTATCTTTCTTGAAGGAAACTGTACAGGATTTGAAGGTATGTGATTCTTGTACTTAATCAAGTTTGTTTCAGTTTTCAAGTTTATTTCACTTTTTGTAACTTATTTTCTCTCTTCCCTCTATAGAAACGACTTCAAGAGATGTCGGTACAGCAGGAGCATTTAAGTCGTCAGGTGGACGAACAACGTCAGATGACACATGCCATTTCTCAACCTGCTATCCATACAGGTAGTTCATTGTTTTTTCCGTCATAATCATGCAATTGCTGTGTATGTGGATTTTTTTTTTCTTTTTGTTTTTTTTAAATAGCTGAAGCAGTCAATTAGTGACAAGCTTGTCTTTTATGTAGATCTCACCTAGTTAAATTATTACTAGTAGATTTTATTCTTAATATCAGACACTTTACTCTCAGAAATATTAAATGCGATTTCTGGGATTTCTTCCTGATCATATACAACTGTGTTATTACAGAATAAGTCATTTTTTTGCTCATAAAAGAACAAATTTCCGATAATTTGCTGTAAAAATCATGCTTATCTAGAAGTTTTTAATGACAGTGTTTTGTTGTCATTGTTTCTTGCAGAGTTTGGTTTGATCAGTGACGCAAATCACATGCTCAATGGTTCTTATGCAACTCTGCCACATAATGCAGTAAAATCGATGCGTCAAGCACAGCAGCATACTTACGCAACACCTTATATGACTCCTGTAGAACCACAGCTATTCGGACAGTCTACATCAGATCAAAATCAAACGTTCCCTATGCATACACTGCAGGTCCCAATTCTATACTTCAAATTTTAGGAATTCTTAGAGACCTAAAATTGGAGAAAATTTTTTTTTAGCTTCAATAAAATCTAGGGACTGATGGTTTATCCCTTCTGATTTCCTAGAATATTTAGTGATTCACCGGTTACTTTTCAGTAATAATCTTAGCCATTTCTCGTACCCATCTTTTGTAAGAGATTTGTGGTTTATTATGAGTGATTTGCATTTCTTGACTTTAGCTGGTTCAAAATATTTGCTTTCTCCTGATTTGACTAGTGATGTCAATGTTGAAATGGTTTATTGCAGTTGCCCCTGAATGGATATACCAATCAACCAGACTATCAGTCGACAGTGCCTGTGTATGCATCTCAGGTTGTTCATGGTTCTCAACTATCAACACCACAGTATCAACTGAACCTGGATGGTTCATACGTTTTACATTCACAGGATACTAGTACACATCCTGCTGTTGGCTCACCATTTATGCTTACTAATGCTGTTGCTAATTCCACTGCAGTTGCACACAATACATTTCGACTTCATCGGAATGATGTTAGTTCTGGTTTTGCTTATCTTAGTCCTATTTTGGTGCGAATTCTTTATATAAGTTTAGTGTTTTGCAGTTTTCGGACTTTAATTATTTTCAGCTTAGGTTTGTTCGATTCGTCTATTTCCCCGTAATTTTTTTTTAGGCATCGTCGAGTCGTTTGGATCCATCGCTTGAAATAAATCGCAATTTGACAAATTGGGGTCTTACGTATAAAGCGGGACAGGTGATACGGCCACAAAGGCGTACTTGGGAAAATAGAACATTTACGAAAAGTGAAATGGATCTATCGAATCAACCTGAGTTCTTACCAGGCATTCCTTCACAGCTACAAGTACCATAACTTTTCTTCTTGGTTGAATCCATCTGTAATTTTTTAACACTGGCGTTTCGTTACATGAATTTCTTGGCTTCTGAGATATCGAACGAAAGTTGTTGGTTCAAGTTTTGAAACTTCAAACATTTTATTTTCCTAGAGCCAGTCATCGGAAGCATCTGAAAATATAAATGGTGTCAAAGGTGTGGAGTCCATATCCTTGCATCAAAGGGAACCTAATGTGCTGCAGCATCTTCAGCAAACCGATTTCGATCCTTACATCAAGCAGAGTAAGCTTTTCTATTTTTTCAATATTTCCAAAATTCTTTTAACGTACTTGAAGTTGCATGCATTTATTATACTTCTACATTTACTGGTTTTTATATTAGGAATTTTAATAATTTTTTGGATAGATTTCTTTTTAGATGTATTGCGATGTAAATATATGTGATCATAGCTCACAGCCTGTATAAATTAGAAAATCCCTTCAACTTAGCCTGCGAATGTTCTGTTCTAATTATCCTTTTGAAAAGGGAATTTTCTTACATAGCTTATGTTTTTTACATGCCTGAATGACAAGGTTCTTGGTTGCTATAAGATATATATTTTATATTATAGAAGAAAATGATAAACCTGGGCATCAGCAAAGCCCACCGAAAGATCCCATTTCATCCACAAATGCCGATGTACCTCCTCTACCCAGAAAGCTTTCATCTACGCGTGCTTCACAGTTCATTGTTGATGATGCAGCCGATAAACCTGTTATCAGCGTGGTTAGTCAGTTGCATTTCTAGACCATTTAATTTCATGCTGTAGTATTCTATAGAAGAATTAAATCATTAGCCATTGGCTATTTTTATCAGTTCTATAAGTAATCTCTTCTTTAAATTTTATCGTTGGTAGAATCATAATTGATTGTAAATACAACGGTTACTCAATGTAGGAAAGCTGTGGGACATTCTTCCCAGAAGTTTCAGCTTGAAAAGGGCCCACTACCACAGTCGATTGGATAAGGTTGTGCAATTTGAATTTAAGGAAGGATATTTTTACAAAAAAAACATATTGATTGCTGCTTTCATGCTGATTTTTCGAGTGTGGATATTTTCACTACATGTGGGTATACTATTGCTGGTGTTTATGATAATAGTCGTGTTTTTAAGAAGCTGCCTTCTCCATAATTTCATTTTTTAAATTTTGGCTGAAATTTCATGTGTTATATATATGTGTGAGCAGTTTGTAATATTTTATAGAACTTCTAGTTTATAGTTCTCCTTAGCTTGCTAGCATGCTTTATAGACTCCCGAAATGGAAGCAAAACGTGAAGCTTTGTTAGCGAAAACTTTACGACGTCGTGAACAAATTGAACAAAAAGTAGGGGAAATTGAAGCTAAAAATGCTGAACGTAGGCAAGCTGAATTGGAAAGGCAGGAAGCTGCTGAACAACGGAAGCGTGAGCGTGAATTACAAAGGTTTTTTTTTTATTTTCTAGTCTTTACTAAGTTTATATTGGCGAAACAGGAAGTTCACTTCACTTATTATATGTCAGGCAGAGAATATTAGATGATTACAAGCGTAAAAAGATGGAAAAAGAGTTGGAAAATATTGAACTGCCTAGTGGTCGAGGATATAACCAACTGTCTTTAGTACAGCGACCGAAAAGCACGGTAATGTTTTATTCTCATATTTCTATTATTTTAAGAAAATGAAAAGAAAAATCGATAATATTATTTTATGAAAACTCTGCCATTTAGCCGTATTAAATTTAATTGGAAAAGATGGGAAAAATAAGAATGCAGGAATAGAAAAAAGAGAAAGTGAAGATGTTTTTTTTTTTTTTTTTTTTAAGGGTAATGTTTCATGGAATAATATAGGCTTCTATCTTCAGCTTATTGTATTCTTCATTTATCTCTTTAATTTGTGATAGTTTACAAGAACGAATTTTTCTTTTGTTTGAAGATGGAAGGAACGAATCATCGAATAAAGCGTTCAGGTCGACCGCAAAGTAGCTTTGAAGAGAGTAGTGCACCATCATCAGCTCGTATTCCTGTACCAAGTACTGCTGAACCAAGTAAATGTCATTGCTCAGTTCTTTGTGAGAGTGTGCTTCTAGTATTTGTTTATTATTCACATAGAATATTCGATTACTGTGTTCATTGTCCATTTATTTAATCTTTTCGGGTTACAGCACTAAAATTGTTTTCGAAATATGTTCATAAGTCTAATCGATCAATGATTATAAATGCTTTGCAATATTCGGTATTCCCTGGAACTGTTTGGGATAAGCAGCGTGCTGAAGTAGGCTGTTTTTTTTTTTTTTTTTTTTTTTTTTTTGTTGTTTTGAAACAAGGGTGAAACCTGGATTGCGTATTTTTGATGAATTTCATATAGCTCTAACAAAATACACTTTGGTGAAAACTGTGCAGAGGTTCTTTTGACGGTTGCCAAATGTCAGTTTTAGTTTTTTATTATATCATAATGTCTAATTTTGCATAGTATACCTGGTATGCTAATTGACAATTTTTAGGTGCTTGGTGAACTGGCAAAAAGTGACAGTAAGCATTTCCTTTTGCTATTCCGGGATCAAAAATGTCGCTATTTAGGCGCATATAGTTGGGATCAGCAATCAGATACCGCACATCGTATTCATGGAAGAGGCCCTAATATTTGTCATGAGTCGATGATAAATCTTATGTTCAAGTATGCTTTCTTCTTCAATTCATATTTTAGGGTATGCGGTGCCTCGTTAGCATAAGAAGGACATTAAGCACTAAATAAATAGTAAAGCCGAATGCAGGTATCGTTCGCAGAAGTACTATTACTCTATTCAACAAGTTTTAATTTTATGCTCTAATTAACTAAGGCGAAATGGTACGACGGAGCAACCTGTAGTCACTGTTTTTCTGTGATTTTGAAAAAAAAGAAAAGTTTTTCCCCTCTTTTTGTACACTGCTCAAGGTAGTATCAAAGTAGACTGCAAAAGTTTGTCTCGTCCGATCATTGACGTAAACTGAGATCGATTTATTATCGGTTATCGGTCCTAGTTCGTTCTTTACAAATTATTGATTTGATTACTTGTTTGTTCTTTAAGGTATGATTCGGGGGCGAAGAAATTTTCGCAGATACCAACAAAGCATCTTTCAGCCACAATTGATGGTTTTACATTACAAGATCATTATATGCAGGTTCCAAAAATTCCACACAGTAACAGCATTAACAGGTAGTCTTCCGAACAAACAGAACTGCCTTCTGTTTTTCATTGTTATTGGGATGAAAGACGGATAGTACTTATGATGACTTGATGAAATGAATTTTTTGATGTGCTGTTGAAATATTATTTACAAATGCTTGTATTGACATACATGTCTTCCTTTCTATTTCCATCTTTCCATCACTAATTGATATAATTTATTTATGTTTATGGGTTAGTTTGATGATGTGAATTTTGTTGGTTGGAAATAAATTATTCACTTAGTCTCATTTTCTTCCCATTCTAATTTATTCCTCCTAACTTTAATTTTGTGCAAAAATATTACTGTAGCTTAAGTGTTTTGATATATGAGAGGAATATGCAATTAATTTCTTGTTGCTTATTATATATTCCTTAAATTTGTCGTTTTTTCAAAATTGTTATAAAGTTTTCCGAAATTATTGCTTCCTTTGCTGATGATACATTTTATCAGTTCAATGTGGATTATTTATTTATTTGAGTCAGAAAGACATTGAAAATCTTTTGCAACTTTTGACTTCTCTGCCCTTATGACATTGCTTAATTGATTAGAAAGATGACTAATTATATCGCAACAAAATGGAAAATATTAAAAATTCTAAAAAAGCCTGAGAATTTGAGTTACCGAATTATGTTATGGTGAAAAATAAAAACAAAATGATGAAAGAATGAAAAGTGGAAGAGAATACAATTGCTTACGCACTAACGGTTCCTTTCTTTCTGTGACACAGTTTCTGCAAAAAAAATTTTTTTTTTTTTGAAATAAGTGAAAAAATAGCTATGTGATGACAACGAAGAAGAAAGAAGTGAAAAGAGGGGAAGGATTTCAATTCTGTTTTTATTTTCTCTTTCAAGATGGCCAAGGAAAATGGTTAATCTTAAGTCACTAAAAATATAACATTAATAATGCCTTCTGTTGATGATTTTTAAGTAATGCCGAGAGTAGTTTATTATTATAGTATCATTACATCAATTTTCATTATATAATTATATTGAAATTATTGCTTACTTTGTTAATTTTCAGTCTTTTACTTTCATCAACTTTTTCTACTTTCTTTGTTTGCTATTCTTGAAATTCCTTATTTCTTTTTCCAACTGAGAACTAGCAAAATTGTCATCACTTGTAGTAATTAATTAATTAGCCTCTTCCTATTTTCTCTTTGTTTATCAGCTATTTTTTTATGTACTGCTTTTTTCTCAGATTCATATTTGCTTCAACTCTTATTTTTGTGCTTTCTAATTTAAAGTCCAGTGATAATAATTTACATTTATCAGTTATACGTACATACATATATATATAAGAATTCCAAATTTCTGTTTTTCCCATCCTCTAAACTGTACTATTTTTTTTATATGCATTTATTTCCTTCCCCTTCTTCCCCTCTCTCTCCCTCTCTGTCACCATGCTTCATACTCATTCAGTTTTTCTTTTTTTTGCTAATATTATTAACTATTTAATTTCGTTTTCTTTTTTTTTTCTTCGAATATAAAGTATTTGAAAATAAAAGGAGAAGATGGAGGAACAAAACATGGCATTGAAATGATTAATTTTATTAATAATTATGTCTTTTCTTTTTTTGCTATCAACTTCAATGGAATTTGACCTTTATTTGAAATTTAACTGAAGTAGTATAGTATTGCTAGTAATTTTTTTTTCCTTTTTTAATAAAATTCCTGAATTAATACAACATAAAGCAGAAAGAAAAAAAGAATTTCCGCTACGTGTCATTACTTATCACGTCATTCATCATTTATTGGGTAGGCGTATTTTGCATTAGTACGATGAGAAAATTTAATAATTGCTAATAACTTATTTCACTTTCATTATATAATGCAGTCAGTATTTATTAAGGTGAGGAGCTAAAGACAGGTAATTTCATCTCTTCCTCTCTCTCTCTCTCTCTCTCTCTCTCTCTCTGCATTTATCAGTTATCACATCATTTTTCGTTTTAGTTTTTAAAACCTTTCACACACTGAAATTTCAATCAGTAATTGTAACATTTTTTAAACATTTAACAATATGAAATCTAACAAAATATTTTACATCTAAATAAATTTTCAATTAATATTTTTCATGCGTCTTGCACAATAAATTTTATAACATTCTTCATATACATTTCCCGTTTTTTCAAACTTTTCCATATTTTTGTACCAAATATTAAGAAAAAAAACAATAAACAAAAGAAAGACAAAAACAAAAGAAGAAAAAAAAATATTAACTTATTTTATTCACAACAATACATAAAGCAAAATGTAAGGAAGCTCAATATGCCTGAAGCGATAATATATTATTTGTAATATTAATAATAATTTGTGATAATTGATAAAGATGATAAACCATAATTATGATAGTGATAATAATAAGCAAGCTGTAATAAGATAACAGTCAAAAAAAAATGAAATAATTGATTGGAAGAAAATATTTGGTTCTGATTTTTTTTTTGTTCTGTTTTTCACCGCTTCTTTTGTTAATCTTGGAAATGGTTTATTTTTTGTTTTTTTTTTTTTTTTTTTTTTTTGATTTATTTATTTATGTGAAAAGAATAAAACAGAAGTTAAATTTGATCATTGGTTTTAACTTCTTCATCCCGTGTTTCCGGTTGTTAACAATGATGACACGGTTGTAAGGAAAGAGAAGGATCGGTCAATTAAAGAAGATGTCGTATTTTTTCGCTTCCTTTAACTTTAGATGAAGCTGTTCCTGAAACAAATTTTTCTTTTCAAAAAGATTGTAATTTTATTAACCAATTTTAATTCATTGTTTAGTTTTTCTTAATTCTAATTTCTATAATTTTTTTTTTTAAATTTTGTTCTGATTCAATTTTCTTTTCTTTTGATATCATAAATGTGAGCTGCTATATATATCTATACACTAGTTTTCTTTTTTTTTTTCGACTTCTACGAAATTTATTTTGCAATTAGTTTTTCTATTTTTAAATCTTTTAATTTTGATTATATTCCTTATTCATTTTATGTAATACAAAAAAAAGGAAAAAAATTTTTAACAAATGATTAACTAATTAATGAATTAACCAATTGTGAAATCTATTTCGAGAAAAATTAATGAGAGAGTAAAGAAAAAGTTTTTTGAAATTATAAAATTATAAATGGAAAAGTTTATATAGGATCAATTCTTTTAAAATTATTTTTTATTACTATAACTTTATTAACATCATTTTAAATTAACATAATATTTCATTTTCCTTTTCCTTTCTTAAACTTTAATTGCATAAAGTAATGGATAATTTGCAAAATAACGTGTGGAATATTACATTACACAGAAATGTATTTTTCCAAAATATAAAAAAAAAAAAATTATTGCCAACATGGTTGTGCTGATACTTTCTCATTAGTAAACAAGCAATTGCAGTCCTTTTAGTAAATTGAACATGTTTATTGTTTTGTGTGTTTTTCATGAGAAAAAACGAGAAACACTTCAATAGCAGAAAGGATTGCAATTGTTTTTAGCTAATACAGCCTTTTTTTTTTAATGTAAACATTTTGTTTCTTTTTATTGTATTAAAAATTTGATAATAAATACAACTTTCATTAATTAATACTAGTCATTAATTAATATGATTAGAAAAATAATTGTCATTAATTACTTTGTTTATTTTCCTTTCAATAAAAGTAATTAATGATTAATTTGCATATTGTTTTATCAACATAATATTTAAATGAAAAGAAGTGTTTTTTTTTAAAGCTTTTGAGTATAAAAATTTCAAATTTCACGCTTTATTTAAATATTCAATGTGATGACAGAGGAATGGAAAAAGAAAAAAAAACGAAATAATTTGCTAAAATGGAAAAGGGAAAAAAATAATAGCTTTTTTTCCTTTCATTTCATTTTTTGAGAAAAAAATATCATTCGTGCACAAAGAAAAAGGAATACGAAAAAAAAAATCATTTTTTTTTTAAATAATCAAAAATTGAAAAATCAATTAAAATTAAAAGACTAAAGAAATTTAATTGATTTTATGATTATCTACTATTAATTATAGATTATCATAAAATAAATCGAATTGTTGTTGTTGCTACTATTCTCGTTTTTTCTTTTATTCACATTTTCTTTTTATTTATTTATTTGTATTTTATTATTTTTCTACGTGCGTCTTTTTTCCGTGCTGTCGCAAAAATTAAATTAAATCACTGTTCATGAAAGGAAGGAGAAAAAAACTTGAAATGCATTTTTAATCAAATTTGAAATGAACAAGTAGTAAGTTAATTTGAGATGACTTCTACGATATGACTGAAGTAATGAGAAGAGTAAAATGCTATTTTCATAGTGCAAAATTTTCAAAAATAAAAGTCAATAAACAAACATTAATGAACATTTTAAGAATCATTAAAGGAGTAGCAAAAGAAGAAAATGAGGACAAAAAAAAGAAAAGATTAAAGGAATTTAGCTGATTTTTTCGTTCTTTTCTCTTGTTCATTTTTTTTTTTTTTGCTTACGGTAAATTTTAATTCAATTTTTTTCGTTTTCTTTTTGTATCAGTTAAAAACTCTGAATTGAATTGCCATGCTATTTCGTTTTTTATTATTTATTTATTTATTTATTTTTTTTTTTTGGGAGGAGGGAGGCAAAAAGGGAAAAAGAAAAAGTAAATGGACATTTGATTTGGATGTTTTTTTTTTTTTTTTTTAATTCATTACATTATCGAAAATTTATTCATCTTTTATTAAATAAAGCTACAGAAAGAAAGAAAAAAATTTGCTGTTGCAAGTTTAAATTTAGAGTTTATAGAAACAGAAAATTAAATTAATAATTCTAATACTTATTTAAGTTTGATGAAAATAATTTTAAATTAATGTGCAATATTTAGCAGCAACTGTTGTGACAGTAAAATTAATGCTATAAGAATTGTTTTTGCAACAGCATTAATAGTAGCATTAGTAATAGTAGTTGTTGTTATTGTTGTTGTTGCTATTATTTTTATTGTTATAGCTGTAGCTGTTATGACTACAATAACTCCGTTTTTTTTATTACCACTG